CTGAATGTCAGCACCCGGAAGAAATCTCTGGGCTTCACCTGTCCAACCCTTCAAATAACCCCTAACAACCATTGACCTTTTACTCTCTCTACAACTTTGCCTTTTATAAAATATGATGTAGTTGGAATTACACAGGATGTAGTATTTTCACATTGGCTTATTTCACTAAGCAATATGTGTTTAAGATTCCTCCATGTGTTTTCATGATGTGATAGATCTTTTCTTTGTATTGCTGAATGATATTAATGTAATCGTACCATGTTATTTTCACCTGTTGAAGGACACTGTGGTTGATTTGAGTCTCTGGTGATCATGAATAAAGCTACCAAAACACTTGTCTATAGGTCTGTGGGTGGACATAAGTTTTCATCTCACATGAATAAATACCCAGCAGTGTGACTGCTAGATTTTGGGTACTATGTTTAGTTTTTTTTCTTTTTTTTAAATAAACTGCCTATTTTATGTTTTTTTTTTAATATAACCATTCTAAGGTGAGCATGATTTCTCTTTGTTGTTTTAATTTGAGATTCCATAATGACATACAGTGTTGAGCATCTTTATTTCTGCTTATTTGTCATCTTCTTTGGTGAGGTGTTTGTTCAGTCTTTTGTCCATTTTTAATTGGGTTACTCTATTATTGAGTTATAAGAATTCTGTCTTTTTTTGTGTACCAGTTCTTTACCAAATGCCTGTATTGTCAAGAGTTTTCTCCCAGTTTCTGCCTTTAATGTTGTATTTGCAAAGTCCTTATGAAGGCCTGGTGCGCCTTGATGTGCTCCTGTGTTATCTTCCTGAAGTTTTAATCAGTAACCCTAAAGTGTAAGGTCTGTGTCCAGAGTCTTTTTCTTGAATGTAGATGTCTGGTAGATGCAACACTACTTGCTGGATACTGTCGTTTTGGAGGGAAAGGGGGTTATAGAAAGGAAAGGAATAAAAGAAGGGCCTGATTAAGCTTTATTAAAGAACTTAATAGCAAATCATACTAAAAGAAGAAGGCAGGGCCAGGAATTTAGCTCAGTGGCAATGTGCCTGCCTCACAAGCATGAGGTCCTGAATTTGATCACTAATAATAAATAAATAAACCCCAAAGAAGCTGTTATCTTTGCAGTTAGACTTGAGCAATTGTAAAGACCAAGGTAGAGAAAGAGGGAGAAACCAGACCTGACAAGGCACCAGGTAATGCAGTTAACGGAGGAATTTACTGGGAAGAGTTGACAAACAGGGATGAAGCCAGAAACATGAAAAAGCAGGGTAACCAGTCCACCTCTGATGGAAAGCAGAAGAGACAAATGGGGCCACCTAAAAATTCTTATTTAATATATGAAAGATACACACCTATGCGCACGTGTGTGTGGTTAGATAGATAGACAGATAGATAGATGCATATATTCCCACTCTAGGGTCACTATATTGCCGCACTGGACACACATATAACCCTTTACATAATGCATGAGCAAAACTCTGAAACCTTAAACTCTATGATATGAGAAAGAGGACAGAGAATTGTTACAAAGAATCTTACTGGGCAGTAAAGTGATATTTATAGAAACAGGTAAGGGTAAGAGAAGAAACTGAAAAGAACTGAGAGTGAGTAAGAGAGAAAAAAGAAAAGGTAGAAGTAGAAAAAACACAGAGGTAGTAAGAAAAAGAAATAAGAAGCCATGAAGAAGGACCATGGTTAAGTTTCCTAAACCCAATAAAGTGGTGAAGAAAAAAGGAAGAAAGTAAAGTATATGAAAGAAGTTAAGAGAATGCTAACACTCACAAACAACAAAAACAAAATGAAAAGACCAACAAAACAACACAAAAAGAAAAATGGCTGTGTGATTTCAAACGTGGTTTTCTTCCAGGATCTACCATTTGGTGCGTGTCCAAGCAAAACATGACCCTGCTCATCCCTGTAGCTAAGGAGGCAGAGAGACCCCAAATTCATGCTGGATGCAGGCGGCAGCAGGCAGTAGGATTAGAGCAAGGGCATCAATTCTGCCTCTTTCAAAGTCAGAGCAATTCAGGCTGAGCCTGGCCTGTGGCCATGGATGTGAGTCCAGTGTCCTCACCTTCAACCACTCAGTTGATCTCTTGCCACCCTGACCCAGATTTCTGAGCACAGTTGTTTCCTGTGCTCTCTCTCCTGCTGTCACTGTGGGATTGTATCACCGAGGGCCCAAACTGAAGCCGTACCACTCCTGCTCTGAGCTCTGAGTTCAAACAGTCAACCCCTCCCTGGGATGGCATCCAACCAAGCACTCTGTGGTGGCCGTCTGGACTGGAGTCACTCAGTCACTATTGCAGCTCACAGAATCCACTCATCTTTTTTCCACTCTGTGTTTCTCCCTGCATCCCCGTGGAGTCTTCTACCTTCACTTCGTACATTCTGCTTTACTTTCTCCTGAAGCACAAACCAGGTGCTAGAAAGTGACATGTCCCTTCCTTTTTCCTCATTTTGTTCTCTTTCATTTCTCTGTAGGATTTTAATTTCCTGTTAAATCCTTCCTGTTTCCTAATGTTCTATCTCCTCCATTCCTTTCTTCCACGTGTTGTTATTATCCATTGTCTGGATTCTGAATCTCAGAGAGGCTGAGTTTTTATTGCTTATCACTCCCCTTTGTTCCAGAAGTCCATCAGAACCTTTGGAATTTCCTTGTGGGGAGACCTGCAGGAGTGTCAGAAATAGCAGCTCTTTGGTGTGTAAGCTGGCTACCATATGTGGTTTCTTCCTGCCTGTCCTATCTGGGAAGCTGTGTGTTTTCCTTGGCTTTAGTGTTTTGAACCTCAGTATTGGGCACAGTCCTTCCAGGCTGTCTTTTTCTACACAGACTCAACTGTATAAAGAGGTTTCAAACAAGAAGACCAATTAGAGGACTGAGTATTTAGCTCAGTGGTACCGTGCCTGCCTTGCCAGCAAAAGGTACCAAACAAAAGAAAAAAAGGGAAACAAGGGGTTTTGCTGACTACCCCTCCCCAACAAGACACATTAGAGTCTCATTCTCCCCACATTCCTGTAGATTTTGGGGAGGAGGCAGAGCTCTCAAAGAGCCAGGAAGGATTGGAACTTCTGGTACCGCCAGAGGAGGAGGCCACCAGCCCAGCTGAAATAATCAGTGACTATGCCAGGAGGCAGTGATGGGGAGAGAGGACCACAGAGAGTGGCTGCACGTGGAAGAGCGATGTGCAGACTGGGAGTGGGGTGGGGCAGAGCTCCACTCAGAGTGGAACCCCAGGTCCTTCTGCTGCTCATCTTCAGACTCCCACAATCTCTCTTCCTTTTGTGGCCAGAGGCCTGAGGACACATGCTGGATGCCACCACAGACCTGAGGAAAGAAACTAGGTTTGCTGTGAAACCTCACTCTTTGAAATTCAGCCTTTGAGCATCTAAGCACAATGTCCTCTTCCCAACACAAAATCTTTTCCATTGTCATCTCCTTCAGAGTCATTTTTGAAAATTTACCTTTGCTGTTCTCCATCTGCCTTCAGTTGTCCTTGCAGTTCTCCTGCCTTCAGTTCTGCCTTCAGTTCTCCCTTGTTCCCTTCCTTCCAAATTCAGCCTCTCGTAGACACATTGTCACAGGTGTGCTGAAGCTCTACTTGAGTCTCAGCTTCCCCTGTGCATCCTGGGAAAAAGTGTTCTAATCCCTCCTTCCTCCATAGCCCCACAGATTTTTGACTGATGGGCTATCCTTCTCCTGTATCTGGTCTTTTCCTATTCCCTTCCCTGGTATGGAAATAATGATGGCAATGTGTCCTGGGAAAATGGCATTTCCTTGAAATTGTCATTCTGCCAACCTGATAGAATGAACTCACTCAGCTGTAGGAGCTTGCAGGGCAGGAGGTGATACCATCTCATATAAGAACTACGACTCTGTGGTCCATCACCGGCCAAAATATAATATGGGGAGCATGACTGCCCATTGCTTCTGTTGTACAGCCAACCCTCTATGCATCTATGGAATTTTTTTCTTCATCCTGAATAAGGACTCTACCCCATGAAAGTATGGATGCCGAGCCTCCTGTCACAGCCCCGGGGAAGCAGTGTTCTCCCTTTTGTCCCTAGGAGCAGACAGCTCAGGGCTCCTTGTGCGCCTGGCAGTGCTGTGTACTCAGACCATGTGTGTCCTTGGCGTCTGCCTTCTTCCTCTTAGCACAATGTCCTCAGGGTCCCATGACAGTTTGGGATGTCAGAGTGCCCTCCTTTCAGAGGAGGATATAACAGTCTAACGTGTAGATAGATGACACATATTTTCATAGCCATTTATTCTTTTTTCTGTTAAGTTTATTGGTACATTTAAAGCAAGCAATACAGTTATATTTTTCATCGGGATCTTGTGCCTTTATATGACATATCTTGGTTCTTATTTTTTCCCCATACCCCTGCCCTCCCTTCACCCCCTTCATCCTTCCCTATTTACAAAGACTTTGTTTCCATTGTTTCATTTTTTCACATTTTTTCTTTTCACTTATTTCCTTTCCCCTCCCCTTCCCACCTGCTCTTTAGCCATTTATTCTTTTTTTTTTTTATTGAGTTTATTGGTACATTTAGGGATACAGTACAGTTACATTCATTGTTGGGATCATGTACCTTTACATGGCAAGTCTTGATTCTCATTTTTTTCCCCTTACCTCTGCCCTCCCTTCACCCCCTCCTCCCCTCCCCATCTACAAACACTTTATTTTCATCTTTTCATTCTCTCGCATTTTTTTCTTTTCCCTTTTTGTTCTTCCCCTACGTATCACACCTTCCCTACACCTTTAGCTCCTTTCCTCCCATTTCTAAATGTCAGTAATCTTATTAGAATCTTATGCATTGTTGCAGAATATTCACACCAGGGAAACTATTTGGTATTTACACATGTGGGACTTATTTATTTCACTTAGGAGTATATCTTCAATATGTATCCATTTTCCTATGAATGAATCTATTCTCTCGCTCTTTATGGCTGAGTAATATTCCATTTTATAGAAAAACCACATCTTCTTTATCCAGTTTCCAACGGATGGGCAAATAGGTTGTTTCCAAGATTTAGCTATTACAAACTGTGCCGCTATAGCCATTTATTCTTAAGGGGACATTTGTGTGACTTCCACCCTCTTGCTTTGGTCCATTCCTGCAACGTGTTGATGTTAAGCCTGTCCTTTCTTTAGGATCTGTGTGAAGGTTACTTGGTACTTCCATCTCTGACATGTTTTCCAACAGCCCACACAAGGCATTAAGACTTCATCACACAGGGCCACGGAATTAGGTCAGTGGTTCCACCACCTGCCTCACAAGCACGAGGACCTGAGTTTGATCCCTGGAACCACAAAAAATAAATAAATAAAGACCATCACACAGAATTCTGCCTTCAGGCATCGTTAGCTTCTCTCCCAAGGCTCCAAGACTTTCCTCAAGTTAAAAGAGGCCTAGTGTGGTGGCCCATGCTGTAATAGTAGCACTCAGGAAGCTGAGGCAGGAGGATGATGAGAGTTCCAGGCCACAATCATTATGTACCCCGGACTGTCCTCCAAATTGTCACATCTATCTATCCTCACCCTCCTGAAGGATGATGTTTTATGCATGTTTCACCAAGCCCAGCTATGAATTCAAGAACTTTGATGATATGCCAAAAGCCTACATGATACAGGCTTTCTTGGTAGCATAGACATAGTGTGTAGTGGTGTATCCTGTAGGAGGCAGGACCTACCAGGAGGGAGTGAGGTCATTAAGGCTGTGCCCTTCAAGGTGCAGCAGGACCTTTGCCCTGGCCTCTTCATCTCATTGGCTTCCTGGCAGCCAGGAGTTGAGGAGATTTGCTCTTTCACCTGTTCCCACCATGCCTTATTGCCTTGGCACAGAACCAGAAGCAAGGCAGCAAAAGTTCTGCTTTTGAAGTATTTGTTTCCAGTATGAGAAAGCACTAACTCGGTAAATTTAATTCATGTTTTCAAGACCGTATAAACAGATTGATGTTGGGAGCACATTCAGGATGGAAAGAACCTGAATGTAAAACAGACCACAGTATAAAGCAGATGGTGAGTGTGGTGGCTCTAAGAGATTTTCAGCAGAAAATGTTGCCTCCTACAAAGAAAGATTTTTCCATGTTTTCCGGATGGACTAAAAGTTGGAACAAAGGAGGATTATACTCTACTGTGCTGGAGAACATATCTTTGTTTTTTGGATAAGAATTACTGTCCAGACAACCATATTGGTCTAGAAATGTTAATTTAGTTTTACTTTTTTCCATGTGTACAGGGGTAACACATCGTACTAAATATGTAAGGTCATATCTACGTGGGTTTGATTACAGAAACTAATAAAGTATTCTCTAAATAATGAAAAAAAAGAATAAGATAAGACTGTAAGAGCGAGAAGCAATTTAAATATGTTCAGGGACCATTTTCACCTCCAGAATTAAGGATTATTTTGATGTTACATCATTGCCTTTTCTCTTTTACTTTCCTTTTTAGTTTTATTTTAGGATTCCCTATTGCTAATGTTCATACAGAGATTTCTTTAACTGAAATACCGAATAGTTTCTTTGGTGTGAAAAACTATAATAGTACACAGGATCCTAATGAGATAATTAATAATGTGAAATAGGAAGTAAAGGGCTAAAGGTGTAAGGAAAGTGGGAAGGGTGGGGGAAAGGTAATAAGGGAAAAGAAAAAAGTATGAGAAAATGAAAATAAAGTGTTTGTAAACGGGGAGGGGAGGAGGGGGTGAAGGGAGGGCAGGGACAAGGGGAAAAATGAGAATCAAGACCTATTATGTAAAGGTACAGAATCCCAATGATGAATGTAACTGTATTGTATACCTAGATTGTACCAATAACCTCAATAAAAAGAAAAAAAAAAAAAAAGAATTACTGTCCAGAGACTTGTGTCACTGAGGCAATGTTTTTTTCTAGAGCTTTCCCTCATCTTGAAAATGTGGGTAGCTCCAGTATCTAAATCATAAATTTTTGCAAAGCGTAAGAGGGTTGCAGCGTTTTCACCAAAGTTGAGAATTAAGTAATTTGACTCAAGTATTGTGGCTAGGCCTGTACATGTGCATCCTGGAAAGCTGAGTAAGGAAGATCACAACTTTAGTTCAGTCTGGAAACTCAGTGACATACAGATCCTGTCACAGAAAGAACAAAAGGGCTTGGAACCTAACTGAAGGTATGGCTCCTGGGTTCACTCCACCTCATCACAATAACAAAAGGAAACAGATGTGGGCAAACACCAGTGACATTTTGGACACAAAACAGGCGGTCTCCCCTGACACTATCTCAAGGATTGGGCAGGTGAGAAGACAGTTCATCTTTACATTCTCTCCAGAAGAGATGCACGGCCCCTGTCTTCTTTATCATGTTTCGCTTACTGACCGCCAGCACCTTTGCATGTCAGATATGTGAGTGAAGCTGAGCTAAAGAGTGACAGCTCATTGAGGATATACTCCTAAGTGAACTAAATAAGTCACACATGTGCAAATACAGAATAGTTTCTCTGGTGTGAAGAAACTATAACAGTACATAAGATCCTAATGAGATAATGGATAATATGAAATAGGAAGAAAAGGGCTAAAGGTTTAGGGAAAGTGGGAAGGGTAGGGGAAAGGTAATAAGGGAAAAGAAAAAAATATGAGAAAATGAAAATAAAGTGTTTGTAAACGGGGAGGGGAGGAGGGGGTGAAGGGAGGGCAGGGACAAGGGGGAAAATGAAAACCAAGACCTTGTCACGTAAAGGTACAAGATCCCAATAATGAATGTAACTGTACTGTGTACCTAAAAGGTACCAATAAACTCAATTACAAAAAAAAGAGTGACAGCTCAGCATTCACAACGAAAAAGGAAGGACGGTATGATTTATATGTGTAAGTGCTCGGGAGTACTACCACCCAGCTAAAAATGGAATGCATTTATAAGTATGACAGGTAAAACACTCTGTTAAAAGATAAAATATGTATTCATCTATGCACTTAAAATACTTAACACAAAATGTAATAAACAGGGTTATAGATACTTATAAAATACTGTAACATTTCTATGGGCACTGCTGATAATAAAGCAGTAAGTTTTTTTAGTATACATTAAAGGAATCTATGACGACACTATGGTCCTCATATTCTATTTTAAATAAGTCTTTCTCCATCTGACATTCTACAGATCTCCAAATGGTATCAAGTGTACAAGGTACACTATATATAAAATAGCGGATATCCTACTTCTAGTTCAGGGGAAACTTGAACGAGGAATGTAGAATATAGAAGGTGATGGAGAACCAGATCTTCCTTTTCCCCAGTAACTTCCCAGCTCCAAGAAGTGCTCTCTGGTGATTCTATTTCATTGTTCCCCTAGGCCCACAGATCTGGAAGGAAGCGAAGAGACAATGTCAGACTTCATGAGGGCATTTTTCCAGGAGAGAAGATTGACACTGAAATGTCAACTCCAACTATAGTTTTAGTCAACTTACAAATCCTATCTTTAACCCTTCCTTCTTCACCATGGTCCTGAGTGATCACTGCCAGTTGTGGTTCTCAGGATTTTTGATCCACATTCCAAAAATCATTAGAGATAAGGTTAGACTCAGCTTGCTGCTTTATAGGTAGAGCTAGACCTGATTTCTTCAGAAACGAGAGCACCAATGGAGAAGGTGGGACGTTTCTGGGGGACTCACACCTTAGTCCATTTCATGTACTTAACCTCTAATCTATCTGTGGTAGGAATATTACTGATAGGTTCACACGATGACCATGAGCCCACCTGCCTCATGCCTAAGCCCAAATCCCAAGCCTGGATATCTCACCAAAATACTCCTAAACTTGGCTCTTTGCACATGATGGGAAACAAAAATTTACTGATTCCTCTACTTAAACCTTACTGTAATGTGTCTATTTTAACAAGAAACCCTGAAATTCATGTATATTTTGTTGTATTCTAACAAATATCCGTGACTTTACACTTAAGGAGAAGATGTGTAATTATTGGAGAGGAAAAATCCACCCGCAAGTGGAAAGATGGGGACTAGGCAAAACTCCCAGGTGCAGGCAACCCTAAGCAATGCATCTGCATGCAGCTTGGGATGTAGAGGCAATCAGGGATCATGTTCTTCCCTTTTGAATATGCAGTCTATTTCATCTGCTAGCCTCTTGATCAACATTCTGTTTGTTAGAAAACAATTCCTCTCTTTGCCATCACCAAAGGATGAAATGCCCGATTATAAATGACAAAATGTAAAAATACAACTGCTGGTGGGCAATGAAAAGTTACAGCAAGTAGTCAGTTGGAACGAAAATGAACATTTCATCTACACTGTGACTTGGACACATTTCTCTGAGTGAAAGGATTTCTCCCAAATCCCTGTGCAGGGACAGCCTGGTTTGGTGAGGTCCGACTGAGCAGTGTCCCAGTACCTAGGATAGCTCTCTGAGGTCACATCTGTGTGGAGGTCACCTGGTGGCTGTGGAGGAGAAAGGAGGAGGCCAAACATGTGCCTGGGCTTGGGCTATGTGGTCAGTGATGGGATGGGAGGATCATGACAGGAGGGCCATGCACGGGTTCCCTGCATTTCTAACATTGACAGCAGTGTTGCTGCCTGAACCCTGGGACACACACATACCTTCTTCAAGCCAGTGTCCTCAAGGCTCCAGGGAGCCCACAGTGCAGGTGCGATCTCGCCTCCACACCCACAGCCCAGGATCATAAGCTTGGATCTAGAGAGGAAAGCAGCCCCTGAGAGGATGAACCCCTTGTGCAGTCTCCATTTCTTTCTGATCACCAATCCCCACACTCTCCTGTTTCCATCCCTCTGCAATCCAGCCCACCCCTCTCAGCCAGTCCCAAGGGCCCACCTACCTCCTCACACTCCTCTCTTGTCACCCTGAGATCCCAGTCCATGCAGCAGATGAACTCTTGGCGCAGTTTGTAGAACTTTGGAATCCGTGCCATGTTCCTCCCATAGAGGAAGAAGAACATGTGTAGTTTCTGAAGCTCGTCATCCTCCTCGATGTCATTGGCCAGGTACCTGGGAAGGAAAGCATGTTGCTGGTTAGGGACACAACCAGCAAGGAGCTGCCCCCAGGTAAGCTGTGCACAAGCACTAGTGGCTCCTTCCACACAGGATCCCATCAGCCTTATACCATGCTGATGCTAATCAGGTGTCTGTGGAGAGGCCAGGGCTTGGCAGGACCATTCTGAATGGGTCTGTGATCTGGGGGCTGAAGGAAACCCCCTGTGCAAGGCCTGAGGTAGACTCCTGCCCCTGTCACCAAATGAAATAGACACCACCGTGTCTGTTCTCAGAAACTTGTCCTCAGGGCCAATAACTGTGTGCTGACCACATGAAGATCTTCTGGGAGAGGGTGACCTTGGTATATTTCTGTGTCCATCTCTCTCCTCTTCAGTGGCCAGTACTGGCCTTGACTCAGAGAACATGAAATCCACCCTTTCCTACATGTGTGATCCCATTGCTTTACCACCCCTGACAGCGGATGCAGCACAACAGGTTTTGTTGAAGAAATGAATGAAGGAAGGATTAGCGGCTTTGTCTGTCGACAAAGGCTATACAGAGACCCTCATGGACTCAGTGCTGCAACAGAATCCCCCCACAGCATGAAAACCAGTCAAGGGATTGTTTTGAAGAATGCATGGACAATTTCTCAAGAACCAGTGCTCAGCAGTCATTTCCCCAAAGAAACTTAGGGACTTCATGAAACTACTGTTGGAATGGAGAAAGTGGTAGATCAGGGAAGGATGCCTGCAGTTTTGGAGTTTTGTTTCTAGTCCTGGGACTGAACACAACAGTTTACATGCTGATCGACATCTGCAGTCCATTTTTCACTTTGCTTTTGGAAACAACATCTTGCTGTATTGTATATCGTCCAGCATGATGAAATTTTCCATCATGCTACCTTAATCTCCCAGGGCACATTAATGACAGGAGTGATTGGCATGCCCATGTTTGTTTTTTTTTTTTATGAAACAGGATCTCATTGAATTAACTTTGACATTGAACTGTTGGTCTTGACCCCCTGAATTCAAACAATATTTGCCTTACAGCTTCAGGATTGTCTGGGATTACAAGTGTGCACCACCATAACCATTGTGTTTGGTGATTTAACCCACTTGAACATTCAGATTTTTATTGAAGTTCAACGTGAGAAGACATGACAGAAAGCCCTGTATACAGATACAGTTGTGTTTGGAAGGAACAATGAAGGAAATGAAAGAAATATTGAGATGAGGAGCTGGTTTGGTGAAGAGAGATTGTAGAATTAGTGAATTCATTGGGAGATCTCCAGCCTGGATGTAGATGAAATAATTAGCAATGTATCGGTCATGATACAAGTGAAATGTCCTAATTTTGGAAAACTGATCAGGAAACACAGATAGGTCCTGCACATGACTTGTGGAATGACTTGTCAGGAAGACCAGCAGAGAGCATGTTCTACTCATTTTGTACCATAGAAGAAGAACATACTTGGGACGTCAGGCTTGGACACCCACAGGAGAGGGATAAGAAGGACATTTGGTATTGCTAAGGAAGGAGACCCTCAAAGGGGTCAGAAATGGCTGCCCTTTGGGTCTTTGGGCTCAAGACCTCAAGTCACCCCCCTGGCCTGTGATCTCTGGGGACTCTGTTTTTCCTGGTTCCATTCTTTAACTGACATGATGTTAGATTATAAATTTTACTTAAAGAAGTATTGGAAACTTGTCGTGTGAGGCTCAGTTTCCACAGAGTTAGTAGTACAACACGGTTTGGATCTAGAAGACAGGCTAGAGTCTCTGTATCCAACCCATCAAAGTGACCATCAAGGACCCTCAGGGGAGGCACAGAACTCACAGGGCCAGGAAGAAATGGATCCTCTGGTACTGCCAGGGGAAGAGTCCAGCACGGCTGAAGTACACAATAACCATGGCCAACAGGTACTAATGGGGAGACATGAGGATCATCAGAGAGCAGGCACACGTAGAGGAGGAGGGATGTGTCAACAGGGGCTGGGAGGGGACAACAGGGCTCCACTCAGAGAAGAGACTCCGGTGCTAGGTGTCCTGGTTATAGGGCTAAGTAAGTGCGTTGGAAGTTATCTGCAAAGGAGAGCATTCATGTTGGGAGAAAGGGGGAGAAAGGAGAAGGGAAGCCATGGTGCCCAGGATGGCACCTCCAAAAGTCTTTTAAAGACAGGGCATTGAGGCCGCTTGCATCAGAAGGGGAGTAGTTCAAGTTTGAGTAAATGGGTTCCCAAGAACTAAGGGGAGGGACTAGGAACTTCAGGCAGCCCCAACCAGAGAGGCCTTATTCAGGGAAGATCATGGCATGGATCCCAGAGGATCCAGGTAGAGGACTGCGTACTCACCCAGTCTGCCAAGAGCAGCCAGGCCCAGGAGGGAGACAGTGCTGAGACCTAAAGAGCCCTGGAGGGTGAAGTAGGTGCTCCCAGGAGGGACTGACTGAATAAGGATGGCGGGGTTGGAACTCTGCCCTCCCCAGGCTATGCCCCAGCCGTAGCCCATCCTAGGGGAGAAGACCCTCACCTTATCAGAGACTCTAAAGTTTACGTCCCAGGCCAGGAATCTTCTGACAGCAGGATCCTCTGTGAAGAGGGCTCAGTGTTAAGTTGGGAACTGGCAAGGTTTTCACTGTGAGTGAGTGAAAACACATCTGCCTGGTACATGATGTTGGATGGGACCAAGGCCAGGCAAAGGGGAAGAGGAGAGAGGACAGTCACCAGGCAGGGGACAGGGGCTCATTTCTGAGGAACCCGGAAGAGTGACTGAGTGGGGGCCTGGGTAACAGCAACTACCTGCCAGGTTAGGTTGGTAGGACAGACTGCAGTGGGCTCTCATGCCTGATGAGGGCACCACTTCAGAAATCAGAAGTCATCAGGTAATTTTTTCCTGTAATGGGCACATGAGGTGACGACCAGCCCTCCTCAAGGGCTGCAATCATTTCCATTCAGCAAAGTCAGCAATTGCCTTGTGTTGGGAGGACCCATTGAAACCAAGGTGTACGCTCCCAAGTGAGGACATGTTTTGAAATGTGCATCATCTGTATGATCTTTGTGTCTGGGAAAGGATGTGTATGTCTGTCATCTGTGTGTCTGCAGCAGGATGGCACCAGAGTCCTCCTGGAATGCAGAGCTCGGTGGTCACAGAGACCTCCTTTCCATGGCTGAAGGAGGTGACCAGTAGTCTCTTGTGTTCCTGAACAACCAAGTTGGAGTTGCAGTGCGGGTTGTCCTTACCCAGCAGTCTGGTAAAGGCTGTGTGGTGCTCAGGCAGCACTGAGGACAGGTGTTTCATCTTCATCTTCTTTTTCAGGCCACAAGGCTTTGCCCTGACACCTGTGTGTGTGGAAGGCACAGGGCTTAGCGGTTCTAATGGTTGCTGTGGCTCCTCACTGCACAGGGACAGATACTCCCTCCACCTCTTGCGAGGTGGGAGACAGTGGACTTCCCTGGGTGCTAAGTCAAAGTACCGGGGCCGTCCCATCTCCTCCCCCTCCTCCAAATTTGATGACCACTCCCTGTTCCACTTGTGGCCAGTGGACCGAAGTTGGAGACTGGGCTTCCGGCTCAGAGCTGAGTCAGATTCCCGCTGATGATCCTTCTCCTGTTCTGCCTCAGATTCCAACTCTGAGGGGGCATAGTCCTTCTCCTTCCTGTGGGCAGGTGACTGAGGCATGAAGTAGGGTGCTTGTCTGGGGACTCCATCAGTGTGACCCAGCAGGTCCTCATGCAGCTCCTCCTCAGACCCTGAGGACCAGTCTCGCTTCCTCTTCTGAGCACAGGCCTGAGGCAGAAGGCCAGATGCTTTCTGCAGGCCTGAGGAAAGAAACCCAGGTCCAATGTGCTGCTTCTGTCCAATGTGAAGCCTTTGACTCTCTCAACCCAACTCCCTCCTTCCATATCATCCCCAACTTTCTTCCTGTGTTGTTCCCTTCAAAGCCATTTTCCATCCTTAACCTTTGCTGATCTCCATCTTCATGAAGTCCATCTTGCCACTGTCCCCTCACACTCTGCCTATAAACTGGGTAGTGTCTTTCACTCATGGTTAGAGGGACTTCTTCTTGAGTCATTTCTCCCCCTATCCATTGTTGGATCTCCTCTCCTCACACCTTTCCTTCATGCCATGTTTTCTATCCGTTGCCCATCTTTGTCCCACCTCCTAGTTTTTTTGTCCAGTTTTTGCCTTCCTGAAATCCTGAATTCCTTCCTTTTTCTCTGTCCTTCCTCCTTACTGGCTCACCTTCTCAGACCTCATTTGTCTCCAGCCCCCTCACCTGACTGTCTTGGGATCTCATCAGCTATCACCACCTCCAGGGCATGTCCTTGAGAGATGGGCTGTGGACTCTGGTCCTCAGATTGGCAAGGTGGTTCACCAGTGGCCATAACTTCTCCCAAATGCCTTCTTGCCCTCCACAGAACACAGGTGCTGGTCTGTCCACACCGTGCTTCTGTAATTTGGATGAACCCAAGCCACTGTCTCTTCTCAAGTCAGGACACAAATAAGGAGTGGAGAACAGCTCTGAGAAGTAACTGTTGCCCACTGGGCTGCCAACCCCCAAAGGATTCAAACCCTCCAATCAGGAAGGTTGGAACCCTATGAGGTCATTCTGCATTCCGACCTGGTAACCAGTTTGAAGGAAAACACACCTAACTGCCAGACTGGACATCTAGGGTCTATGGCCTCTCTTTCCGGGGTCCGAAATTCTGTCCATTCTCATGTCCCCTTGGGTCCTCCAGGTTCCTTTCTCTTTTCTCGACAGATGCCATTTTGGGTTCACTGTTAACCCCAAGCATGGGTCTCTTCCTACCCTCTGTGCTTTCCCTGTTCAGGGCACACACTGGTAGGAGAAGCACTCTAGTGGGCAGGATATTTAGGAAGATCAGAAATGATGGAACCTCATCAGCAGGGTATAAGTGGGGACAGAAAATCTCAGGGTCATTGACTTTTTTACTTCAAAATTCCAGTTTGGGCAAGCTTTTCTCCTCAGGGTTCACTGATCCCTTCCCTGTTTAAGACCTTGTACTGGGAAATAAATCCTCCCTCTCCTGACAGAAAGTGTAGTCACACACACACACACACACACACACACACACACACACACACACCTAAATGTGGCACGTTTTCAAGATGAAATAGTCATATATTGAGTGGAAAATACGTGATGGGTTTTTTTGGTACCGGGGCTCAAACTTGGGACCTTGCGCTTGCAAGGCAGGTGGCAGAACCACTCTGAGCTAAATCCCCAGCCCAACTGACAGTCTTTAACTGCCAGCCAAAGTTGATGCATTTGCTGGGTCTTTGGGCAGTGGGTACCTTGAGGGAAAGGTAAAAATAGTAATGTAAGAAGCATGGTCATTTCTATGAAAAGTATGAACCAGACTGCTTCCATCTTGAAATCTAGGTGAGTCCTGGGTGCTCCACCCACCTTTACTTTGTGTGCACTGAGTTACAGAAAACATTTGTTCAGTTTAAATTTTGGGAACATTGCTGCAGACCAAGGAGAGCTTATCAATAGCCAAGGACTTCACGTTCCCCACACCCTTTCCCCTCCTCCCACCCTTCCTTTCCCTCAGCAACTCCTCCCCTCAGGATGTTTAAGTAACCAATCAAGATAGACTGTAAACCTTCAACCCAACCAGTGGGAAAAGTTCAGCTGCTTCTCCGGAGTCAGAGAGAAACAGGGCCCTGCCCTGTTCTGTGAAGTGGCTACCTTATGCTTGAAGCTTTCTACAGAAGTAAACTTTAAATTGCCTTTTGGAAACCTTCTGCCTCATGTCTTGCTAAGTGCATTCTTTCCAGCACTAATGGCTTGAGTCTGGAGTCTTATTTCCAACAATTTGGTTCCCAGTGTGAGGCCTCAGCCGATCAGGGCATGAGGACTTCTTCCAGGAAGAGACCCACATCCTGGTTGCATTGGACTCAGGATGAGAATCCATGTCCTTGCTGAGGACTTAACAGTGCAAAAAGGGTCCAAGGGAACCAAAGAGGACCAAAGTGACTAGGGAACTTCATGCATCAACCAAGGCAAGAAAAGTTGCAGGGGCCACTGAGTATTGCTTTGGTAGTTGGGTTATTCTGTTCTTGTACCAGGAAGACCTTGGGTGAGACCAGCCATCTCCAGTAAGGTGGAGATGATTTCAGATAAAATTGAAAGTAGCCAATGGCAAGATATCTCAGAGTAAGCCAGAGATTGAGCCTTGGGCTTTTGTACTAACAGAATGGGTAATCAATGTGCAACTAAGTCAGGACAAGGTAGGAAATCCGGGGACTCAGGGGAATGAAATGCTGCCTTATAGACTTCTCAGGCTAAGAACCAAGATACATCATGTGGGAGTACAAGATCCCAATGATGAATGTAATTGTACTGTATACCTAAAAAATACCAATAAACTTAATGAAGAAGAAAAAAGAAAATGTGTATATAACAAGTACAGTAAAATTGTTGTACCCAGATCGCGATATCTCCAAAGACCACCAAGGAGTGGAGTCTGATGTAATTAAATGAGGAGTTTATTGCAGGCTCGAGCCTGGCAAACTCGAGCCTGGACCTCCAGTGGCACCGTCACAGAGGCTTCCAACTGAAGGCCCCGACCCATTTTCAAGACATGCTTATATAGGGCTGAGGATTAATACTATTTTTAACTTTCCATTACTAAGGGTTATTATTGGGACACTTAGGGGAAATACCTCATTCTCATGAGGGGAATTATCTCATACTCATGAGGAGCTCGGCGGGGGGCACTCTATTTCTATTTTTAAGGAACACTTTATGTGATTACACAATTAGGTAAACTCTCTATACTCAGCAAAGCCTATAATATCTCTAACTTATTCATTACTAGGCAACTATCGGGGAGGGGATAAGTTCATTCTTGGGTCAGAAGAAGAGGAACAGAAAAACAGGAATAGAAAAACAGGGAGGAGGTTGTTATAGCCCTTTACCCAGAAAACTTGGTCTTTATATTCTGAGCAAAGGTCAAAGAGGGAGACCACCTCGATCAGAAAACTTGGTTCCCACAAAATAAAGGCTGTTCACCTACAAAATGTTGAAAAAAAAAAAAAGAATTTAGAACAACACCCACCTTGTGTTGGCAACAAGGACCAATTGTCCACTTTCCCCTGAAAACGTGGGATTCCCTTCCAGTCCTCTCCTCCTCCTGGGACCCTCGGGAGTCCCTGCACCAACCTGAATCCCAACAGCGCCAGTGGAGGAGGACCTTGTCCCTGCGGTGACAGTTACAGCCACACAATGCAAAAAGACTGACCTTATCCTCAGTTCAGGAGAAAATTAAGAAGGGGACGGGGGGGTGTTCAAGCTCTTCCCCTTGAGGGAGGTTCCTTGGGGTCTTTCTAGTTCCACTAAACTTGGAGATGTTCTGAGTTCTACACTTGCTCATAGGTCTATTGTGGGCCTAAGGTCCCATGCAGGGGGCTGAGAGGAAGTTACTAATAAGGTGAGAAGAATTTTGCTCACAAGCGTCTTTGGTTAGACAAGTTCAAAAGCGGTAGGATAGTTAACAGTTTTGTACACTTGAGTAATAAATGGCACATCATTGGATTAGCATAGTTCTGGATGTGGCTGAATGGATTTACTGATGACAAAAAACCTACCCTGGGTGTGAGTAGAAGAAACCAAACAGATTGTAACCTGGACGGAATAAACAGGAGACAGAAGAAGGAAGTATCACTTCGGCAGAATTTTTGGAGGAGCTTTGGTCTTTTTTTTTTCATTAAATTTATTGGTACATTTTTAGATATGCAGTAGAGTTACATTCATCATTGGGATCTTGTACCTTCACATGATGTGTCTTGGTTCTTATCTTTTCCCCATATCCCTGCCCTGCCTTCACCTGTCCACCCTTTTCTATTTACAAAGATTTTGTTTCCATTTTTCCTCTTCTCATATTTTTCTTTTCCCTACCCTTCCCACTTCCCTTACTCCTTTAGCCCTTTTCTTCCTATTTTCATGATCAATTATACTATTTGATCTTTATTTACTCCATTAGTTTTTCACACCAGAGAAACTATTTGGTATTTACACATGTATGTCCTATTTATTTCACTTAAGAGTATTGACCTCAATATACATCCATTTAGCTATAAAAGACTGCAGTGTCTCATTCCTTATGACTGAATACTACTCCAGTATATAGAAAAATCACATCTTCTTTATCTGGTCTCTAGTTGATGGGCAGTGGAACTGTTTCCAAGTTTTGGCTATTACAAACTATGCTGCTATAATCATGGGTGCACACATATCGTGGTGGTATGACTCTTTTAATTATTTTGGAAAGATACCCATCAGAAGGATAGCTGGGTCAAATGGAACCTCTAGTCCTAGTTCTTTGAGGTATCTCTGTATTGATTTCTGCAGTGGTCGCACCAGTCTGCACTCCCACCAACAATGGAGAAGGGTTCCTTTCTCCCCACAACCCTGCCAACATTTGTTATTGCTTAATTTCTTGACAGCAGCCATTCTTTCTGGGGTGAGATGAAATCTCAGTGTTGTTTTCATCTGCATCTCTCAAATGACCAGTGATGTGGGACATTTTTTCGTATACATTAGCTTCTTTTGCTTCTTTGTCTGAGAAATGTCTTTTCATTTCAGATACCCATTTGTGAATCGGGTCTTTATGTTTGGGGGGCCTGATTCTTTTTTTGAGTTCTTTATATATTCTAGGTAATAGTCCTTTGTCCGAGGAGCAGCTGGGAAAAATTTTTTCCCATATTATAGCTCTGTTGGTGGTTTCTCTTGCAGCCCAGAAGCTTTTTAATAAGACGAGATCCCAGTTGTTAATTCTTTGTGGTAGTTCCTGTGCTACTGAGGATTTGTGCATAAAGTCTTTTCCTATGCCTTTATCTTTGAGAGTTCTACCTAACTTATCTTCCAGAAAGTTTAGTGTTTTTGTTTTAATATTTAGATCTTTAATCCACTTGGATTTTAATTTAGCTCATGGTGAAAGATCAGGGTCTAATTTTAATCTTTGGCAGGTTGAAATCCAGTTTTTGCAACACAGTTTATTGAAGAGGCTATCTTTCCTTCAGTGACGATGGTTGACACCTTTGTCAAAGATGAGGTAGCTGAGTACATCTGGAGTTGTTTCTGCATCTTCCAGTCTATTCCACTGATCCTCAGGTCTGTTTCTTTGGCAGTACCAAAGGAGCTCCTGTCTTTACCATCACTTCATCTTAGACCTTTCACCGTCCCTCCTCAAAATCTCGAGCCCCCCCCCCGAGCCCAGACTCTTCATTCTCCCAGCTCAGAACCTTTAGCCTTCTACCATAAATGCATTGGCTATGAACAGGACTGCAGGGGACTTCAAACCTGCTGCCTTTCACTGCATTGTTCAGCTTTCTAGCATGCAGACAGCCATTTTGCATTCTTCCACACCAGACTTTGTATTTGGCCATTGTAAGATATTTGTGTGTGTGTGTGTGTGTGTGAGTGTGCACACAACATACGTGCAAGCACAGAGAGAGAGAGAGAGAGAGAGAGAGAGAGAGAGAGAATATTACATTGAATCTGTTACTCCACTGCGCCCTGACTAATATAGATGTTGGAACTAGGAGTGACCCTAGAGGAACATAGTTGTAAAAATGAAATTCTGTAATAGTTCTACTGGTTCTAGGAATAGGCTTTCTCATTTGATGAGACCTAAAGATGCCACCGTATCTCCTCATATGTGGAGTACTGATATTCTGTGGTGTGAATTGTTTAAAATGATACGCAGTGTAGGTGAATTTGATTATCCAAGTTGGCCTTGAACATATTTTCTGTTTTAGCCTCCCAGGTAGCTGTGTCACCAGCATGTACCACCAGGTGTGTTTATCATGGTATTTTTTTTCCAGAGGTTCTCCAAACACAAGCCTATTAAAATAAAGGAAAAATTATCAATATTTAAGTGAACTATTCCTACACTTCTCTAGTAGAAATGTCTCTGTGGTTCCATAGGTCCTTTGTCCTTCCTTGCTTTTGTATCCCGAGACTTGTCTACCTCTGTGTTGGATTGCACCCATTTCTGCCTTCTTGGGGACCATATTCTATAAAGTCTACCCTTTCCTTGGAGCGAAGAAAGAGGCTCACACCTTCAGTGGGCATCACAAAGAGCGATTCCTGCATGTTCCCAAGTCTCCATGTCTAGTGCCCCTGCTTTGGAAAAACAAGGGACATGTTTGAAACATCTAGTAGCATATTAGCAATGGTGCCTTCAGGAATCCTGTGGATAGCCTGCTTTAACCAGATCTGCAGCACTGTGATGTATAGGCATTGCTCCTCAGACAGGTTCTGACATATGTTCCCACCAGTACTTGGAAAAGACTAATTGGAAGGATTGCTAGTGGCTGGATTTAACTGTTGCTCCCCACCCACATCTGGAATTATTCTGTGAGAGCCAAATGTTGTCTCGAATTCCACCACTTTGTCTTGTCCTACAGGGGGTTCAATCTATACCCACATCATGTGTCAATTGTAAGGGACATTACTGAAAATGCTGGCCATGGATCTCGATCTCCTATGAGCCAGTATGATGTTTGTAGGACAGGAAAAGGGAAATAAAGACACAAAGATTAAAAACTTGACAGAAACTGAGTCTTGGGCATATCCAAACTGCTCTGGTCAGCAAAGACGAAGGAGCCCAAGGACATCCAGTGTCTGTTCATTACAAGGATGCGAAGGAGGGGCCTGGGCAGGCCTCCGGAATCTGTTGATGGCAGTTTATCTCAGGCAGGGCTATAGCATGAGGGCACAAGTGTGTCTTTGCTGAAGAAAACAAACGGTTAATTCAGAGGGGAAGAACTTAGTTGGAGTCAGTTGACCTTGGCTGGAAGTGAACTGAGCCTAGCTCTGCTACTTCCAATGTTAACACAGCCAGTGATGGAGGGGTAAGAAACTTGTGCCACTTATAGTCTGCTAACACTGGGCAGAGGTGTCTGCTACAGGGCAGGGCAGCCCCAGGTGATGTGGGGTATTTTGAAGCAAGTGGGGTGTCAGTTGGGCAGGCATGTGGACAGAAGTCTGCTCATGATTGGCTCTTGGTAACCAGGTTACCACAGGATGTATTCCACTTGGCAGGTGCTGGCCCCCTGCTTTCAGTTGGTAGGTGGTGGATGAAGGAGTAAGAGCTCTGAACCCCATCTCTGGCACTGGATTTGGCTCTCAGCCCTTGTGGGATCTCCACTCACTTTGAACTGAGTGAGATTGCAGGCCCTCGGAAGCCTAGTCGGCTTGGGGCGCTGAGCATTGCTGAGCTGTTGTGTGGGGCTGAGCAAAGATTCAGTGCTGCCCCATGGGGAAGATTCTGAGCTGTTGTGTGGCCCCCAATGCCAGCCCGAAGGTGGGCACTGGCAAGGAGCCAGTAGAGCCAGACTTTGAGTCTGAGATCTATGGAGCAGTGGTGAAAGATGCAGTGGCAGAAGCACCTGCTCCCCAGGAGACTGAGGAGTTTTCCATGGGAACCAGGGATGACCCCCACACTGGTGACTGCGAGGTGCCCCAAGGTAAGGAGGTGGCAGAGGTGGGGACACTGTCTGCCCTTGGGTGAAGCCCTCAACTTCGCAACCTCCAAGGTCCTGGGGGGACTACCAGGGGCTGACTTTCTCAGGGATGTGCACGTGTAATGGGGAATTGATGCTGATAAGCCTCACTTTCCTACACTTCTCCCTTCCCTGTCCTGTGAGGCCTCTGTCTTTCCCTCTCCACCCTAACACCCAGTTCTTGGCCCCTTTTATTCCCGACTCCCATCATGGACCCTTCCTGTTAGTAACTCTGTACCTTTCCCTGTGGTACTTTATCAGGACACTTTTGGTATATTCACTGCCTTTTCTCAAAAGTCAAACACATCAGCAGCTCCTCACCTGGACTGGTACCTGAGTGAAGGAGATAGGTAAGACCTGACTCTTCCCTTCCTCACACCGGCCACGGTAGGGGTACTCTAGCAGTTCAGACCCAAACACTTGAGCATTTCTTCAGTAAATTCAAGTCGAGGGCGTCATGGGAATTTATATGGTATTCTTGACGTTACCTCTGCAGAACCTGATTATTCTTCCAACTGTAATTTGGGCGCGCAAAGAGAACATTAGGGGAAGGGCTCTAAGGAACCGAGGGCAGTGTCAGATGTGCAGAAAAGATTTTTGTTTACCTCAGAGTTTACTCACAAGAGTTCTGGTCACTTTACATTTCCCACTCTGACAAACACATCTCCAGCCTTGCTCCTGTCACTGACCAGCCTTTATCTTGCCCGTTGTACAGGTCAGGTGAGGTAGCACATGAGCTCAGGAGATGTTGGTCCAAAGTCTGAAAAGAGGGAACATGGGTTTAGGGTTCAATTAGGAAGGTAAAGCTGTGGGAGTCGACGTGGCAGACCTGCAGCGTGGGGCGTTTGTTGCCATCCCTTCTCCTTTCTTGCCTGTCCTGCCAGTAGACTCCTTCTCAACTGCGAAGGATGCTAAAGTGAAAGGAACCTGCTGGAGAGAAGAGATGAAATGTTCTATTTTCAATCTCTAGGATTTTGCAAAGTGTAAAAATAATCGTGGGTAACAATTTGGTTCTTGTTGAATATTGTCTTTTTTGTTTGTTTGTTTCTGAAGTGCTGGGGATTGAATATACGGCCTTTGTACCTAGCTCTAGCCCTGGCACTTTTTTTAAGAAATGTATTTTGAGGCAGGGTCTTGCCCCATCACTGCATTTCCCAGACGGGGCTTCGACTTGGAATCCTCTTAGCTCCTCCCCAAGACTTGGGCTTACGGGGTGACACTAAATCCTGTGAAGTGGAAAACATTGTATCAGAAACTGTCCCAGATGGCACCGTTTCTTTCATTACTACACATGAAATGTCTTTTGGGTCTTCTTTTTTCCTTTATTGGGCTCTTAGTTTGTTATTCTAATAAAGCCTCATGATCAACACGCCTTTGTAACTTTTCAGAATATTAAAAATCATTAAAGAATGAAGAAATATAGGAATTATAACTTTCAGTGCAAAGCGTCTAAGGAGTTTTGAAAACCTATATTCCGCTTGATGGTGTAAAGTGACCTTCTGATTTTACCCAAAAATGAGAGGGGTAACATAATGCACCCATGTACTAATAAAAAGGGGAAACTAAGAAAAAAGGGAAGCATAATTCTTAGTGCTTTACAACGTGGTCTCATGGGTTGTGCATCTCATTTGGCCCTTCCAAATACAAAGCAAACCTGTGTATCGTGTATACGCTCTCTGTATTGCAGATTAAGAAACAAAGTTAGGAAATGACGGAATCAGCTTCTGGGTAGCTCCGAGCTCGGGCTGACCTGGAAGTGGTACCTAGGCCAAGTTCAGCTCTTGAGAAAAACCTTTTCAGGATGCATCTTACGTTTCATCCGTAGCTAGTCCTGTCTCTTAGAAATTCTGCAACCTCACTTAGTTCCGTTTAGATTTTTGTAGAACTCAGAGGCAACAGTTAACTCTGCACTATGTGTATACATTCATTTTAATGGATAAAAATTAAAGGAAAGTAACAAATGGCCCAGATTTACCAGCGAGGTCAGTGGGCTTGTTCTGGGAACTGAGTGGAAGGTGAGAAGGCTGTGGACTGCGGAATGTGAGGAGAAGCTGGCAAGAGGCAGCAAGTGTAGGAGAAAGATCAGCATCGCTAAGCCTGAGACACTGAAAAGTCCTCTGTGAGCACAGTCTGTTGTTTTATGTTTATGACGTGAAGGTTAAATTTTCATTTCCATTTGTGTTTTATAATTGAATGTGTTGAGGGCCAGGAAGGCAGCTCACTGGGGGGCCACTTCTGTGGCACACGTAGAGCACAGGTTGAATTTCCAGAATTGCAGGAAAATGAAAAGTTGGCATTCACTAAAGTGATGAGAATCCTCAGCTTCACTGTTTAGTTATTATCCTTAAACTTACATAGAAACAGTGCCAGACACCAAATGTACAGTACAGGTACATTGGAAGTCTGCTTTTTGTCTTTATTTCAGATAATGTTATGTCACTTTCCCTGGAAACTGTGAAATGCCCACTTAGACATCAAAAATATAGACTGAAGAGTTGGATTGATACATAAACTATGGCTGGCCTGCCTTGTTTTTCTCTCCCCAATCATTTCAGAATGACATTTCTTTCCTAAGAACCTAGGGTAATTTCAGATACACTGAAAAGAATTTTCTATTACTTTGCATTTAGCAAGTGAAGTTAGACCATCATTGATTCACAAGTATGTTATGATGTGGTACAATATCTTTAAAATATAATCATACTTGGCCGGGGATTTAGCTCAGTGGTTCCACCACCTGCCTTGCAAGCACAAGAGCCTGAGTTCAATCCCCGGTACCGAAACACACACACACACGTGCGCGCCCACACACACACATATAATCATACAGTTCCATGAAATGTTTGTTTTGGGTGACACAGATAAAAATGTTTTGGTGACTGATGACTTGTAACTCCCTACTATAAAATTCTGATGGTGTATTTTCTCTTGTAATTTAAGAGTATCAGATGAATTATGTCATACTGAAAGTGTTTTAGTATGAAATAGTCCTATGTCAAACTGAAGTTACCTCTGATGTTTTGCTGGACATTAGAATTACACTTTTGGATGTTTGTTGTTCTTTGGGGGGTAATGGGGATTGAACTCTCATGATTCACATTCATGTAAAACCTGGAAATCCCATATTGTTTGTATACAAGAGTCTAATCATATTACTGGGAGAGGAAAAAAGAGAAGGATCCTAATTAGATGGATTTCTAAAATGCTTAAACTGTAGTCAGTAGTAGACTGATTATTTTTTAATGCGTATGTGTGCATTTTGATTTCATAAGGATGCCAGGGATATGTGGTAAAGTATATTGTGATTTGCCCACTGAACTCCCCGTTTGAAAACTAGAATAATTTTTAATATGTGTGAAGGAAATATTGCTTAACTACTATTCTGTCGGAATCTTGGTACAGTATCTTTCAAGATTGGCTAAGCAGCTTGAGATTACATTACCAAGTAGGATCATAGCCCCCACCCGAGACTTTTATGATCCCGTGTGATGGCAAAGTATATGTTACAAAAACTCAAGAATCTGCTTTGTAGTCTTTCCTAAACAGAAGATCATCCCAGTTTACTGCCAAGGTGAACTGCTGGCCAGAGGGAACAATGAACATGTATGTAGTTTTGGAAACCGAGAAGATTTCTACATATCCTTTTCTTTCTTTCTTTCTTTCTTTTTTTTTTTTTTGTGTCAGTAATCGAACTCGGGTTCTTGCACTTGCAAGGCAGGTGGCAGAACCACTGAGCTCAATCCCCAGCCCTCCACAACTCCTTTTCTATCTGGGAAGTGTGTAGATTAGGACATTGCATTTTTTAAGGAGTCTTAAACCTGCCATGGTGAATAGCCACCAAATGCCACAGCTATCAAACTGAGTTCCCTTGTTGAATGCAACTAGAATTAAACATGCCACTGGTCGTCTAAAGAAGGTTTGCTGTTGTAAAATATTTGTTACACTGACCTGGTGCCTCACAGTGTAAGCATGATGCTAGGTGTATCCATGATTCCGGCGCTTGCTAGTGGAAACTGTTCCTGAACTGTGCTGGCAGTATAAGTACATAAGAAGGTACTCCTATTTCTGTTGGACAAGGAGGGCAGGTGAAGGCACATATTCATCGCAAAGAGCATGGGACTCATCTATAAGCTGCATGAGATTATTTAGGTACCAGTTTAGCAAGATAAGTCCAAGACATAGCCTATTGTACTCCATAGGTATGGAGAGATTCTACAGTTGTACAGTCCCCAGTTGCCTTTATTTCTTTCTGATTCATACCTGAAAACACTGTTTAGCATGATAAAAGGTATTGTATAACTCTTTTGAAAGCCATCTACTTTTCTACTGAACTAAATGGTCCAATTTTCTTTTCCACTCTAGGAGTAGC